TAAGGATAACTAGGTTTTTTATGTTTTTCAACCTTTTTCAAAAATTCTTCAATTATATTTTCTTCATCAACTATGTTCATCATTACTTTTGGTTCATAATATTTAAATTCGTAATATTTATCAAGTTCATACATTTCTTTGCAATAAAATTCTACTTCTTCTTTTTCAAATTCTATCATTATCTTTTGGTATAAATATTCATCTCTTATATATCCCAATATTAGTTTTTCTAATATTTGTTTTCTTGTTTTTATTGGTAATTCTTTTGTTATAATTAATGTTAATATTTTTAATTTCTTAGGTAGAGATTCTAACATATAACTTAAACCATCTTTTTCTCTTAATATATAGTACCAATTATTTTTAATTATTTCAATTTCCATGATCTAACATGGCTCTGATACCAATTTTATCGGGGTGCGCAGCGCCAGCGGAATAAATTTTGCACTCATAAATTTTTAGGGACTAATTTGGAGTTTTTATATTCTTGTAGTGGCTCCTAGTTGCAATTTATGTATGAAGGGTATTTTTGGAAATTAATTTTTTCTGTAAGGTTTCTGTAAGTATCTTTCTGTAAGTGTATCTTTTTCCTAGAATTTAAAGCAAAAGATATGTTTAATTGGAGATTTATGATTACAGATCCGGTAATTGAACAGGTAAATTTAAAAAGTGATGTTTATTGTAGGGAAAATAGCAACATGGGTTCCAAAAGACCCTACAAACAAAATTTCTCTAATTTAAAGAGTTAATACCTAAAAATAAATTTTATTTTAACTTTTTAAAATAAAGAATGAATTCGTCTCTTCAAATTCTGTTCGTACTTTATAATTATTGAATTTAATAAATTACATGTTTTAATATATAACAACTTAAAATATTCAAACCATATTTAAATTGATTGGTCACTAACATCTAAGAAATATATTATCTCTACCTATATTAAAAGAGCTAGTTTTTGGTTACTGTAGCTAAGTCGCCGCTGAGCCAAATGGCCATTCGGCTCGGCTCGGCTCGGCTAAGCCGGGTGTTTTTTTTATTTTTTTTTCCCTATACCCTATCTTATATCTATGGCTGGCCCGTCGA